TTATTCAAACGTAATAATAAACGAATTAATCTTACTTAAAACAAATACTATTTGAAACCATGGATCATGTTGAATAAGGTATTTAAATCCACATATATGTTCATTTAATAAGAAATTTGAACAGTAATTATAGAGATTTTCGATGATACATAAGCATTGCCAATATATATAATGATCATTAATTTATGTGATTCGTCTCTAATCTAGATAAAAGAAAAAAACCACAAATTAAATTAATGAAATGAACAACAATAATTATTTAAGGTGAAACAAATCACATTACCGCCTTTGGAATGAATGCAACATATAGTTGAAGAATTAAAAACCATGGAAATAATTCATAAAAAGGTATTTTATGATCTTTTCCTAATTTGAAGTAGTACCCATAAATTCTTGTAAGTTTTTTAAACCATATTAAATATGCTAAACTTCCAAAATGTACTGCTTGTGCATATATAAGAATTAGATATATTTGATAGGTTTTATACATTTCTATTAAAATAGTATAAAACGATACAATTTATGAACGTTAAATATAATTTAGAATGCTATGCTTACTTTTAATTTGTTCTGTATTTGTGATTTTCAAATCGTTTACTACTGGCCAAATTCTTAACCGAAAAGAAATATCCAAAAAGTTAAGATTTAAATTTATATTACAAAAAAAAAAAAAAATTATTTATTTGAATTATATTTAAACATACCTTCTTTGCCACATATTAATGACTAAGATTAAGTAATAAATAGCAAATGACGAATATAAAGTAACCCAAGCAGCAAAATAATTAAAAAAAAACACCTTTATCTCTTTCAATCTGTCATCCTGTGCTGCGAAATCAAGACAAACGACATTAATGCACCCCAGAAGAATTCTTAAAGAGATTAATAACATTGTGCCAATCCTAAAAATCCTATGAAATAAGTTTATGATGCCATGTAATATTGATCGTTGTTGTAACTATACAAATCGTTTAAATTTTATTTCGGTAAATATGGTAAACATAAGAATTAAAAAATGAAGTATTATTTATAACATACTGCTACAAATCCGGATATTATATAATAAATTTCAGGAAACATTAAAACCACTATTCGTAATGATTTTAAACTAATTGCTACATAGATGCTTGAAATGACAATTATGGTACATTCAAGAATATAAGAAACAATAAATAATTTCTCAACAAAAGTGTAATGAGATAAAAACGACTTGCGTGTAAATTTTGAGAAATTCTCCATTTCTTTTTTTTTTTTTACAAATTTAAAATTGAAGACGACATTAGTTATTTATTTATAATTGAGGAAATTTCATTTTACAATGATTTTCAAAATTTAAATAGTAGGTCGCACCCAATGCTCACTATCTCGTGACTTCATCCTTTAACTTACATAATTACATCTTACTGCGGAATTTCAACTACAGATGCGCGCAGTTATAAGCGAAGAAAGAAAAAAATTTTATTGATTTTTTTTTGATACTTCATAAAAACACTACACTAAATGTACCAGGTTAATAAAAAATTGTATAATAGCCTTTAGCAAAATTCATTTCAACAATAGATATTAAACGTTGGTAACAAAAATTCTCAATAAAAACAACCTTGAACTGTAGTTTGAAAAAAAAGAAAATCAAATTTGGGAGGTCTAGGATAATGATCTGAACATCCGGTCTAGGTTAAGATTTCTCTTTTTGAAAAAAATGGGATTTTAAATATGATTTTGAAAGCGCTGACTGTATGATATCTTATAAAATTTTATTATTGAAGATTTTTTGTAATTCTGATATAGCTTTGATTAATAATATAATAAATACTACAATTTTTTAGAAATTTACTTTACACAGATTTTTATTTTAAAATTATTTTATAATTTTATGAAACATTGCTTAAAATTATTTCAAGATTTACAATAAAATAAATGTACACCGAACTAATATACTGTCAAAAAAGCACATTTAACTTCATTACGTTACATACCCACCAAACTTTTAACCCATTTTCTAGCTTTATCAAACATATCTTTCTTTTCACCCACCCAATTTTTAATCCATTCTTTAGCTTTATCAATAATAATTTTTTCTTTCTCTTCATCTCC